AACCCTGAACCTGTGCCCTCTTGGTCTGCTGCCTTGATGTGCATTTAAGTATCATTTTGGGTTTATGTTTTCTATCACATTTTGCATTTGAATACTTACCTCTTACACCGTCTCCAATTCTTCTCCACAAACGGCTTCTCCTCTAGCCCCTGTGCTGTCTCGTGCGACATTCCTCTGGTCCCCTCCTCTTCAATATCCACATGCCCCCTCTTGGTGACATCATCCGCAGACATGGGGTCAAGTTCCACATGTATACAAATGACACTCCCTGCTTGTCGGCCTTCCCAACTCTTCCCACCACAAGCTGCAGATCATCCAGAACTTTGTAGCTTGTATCCTCTCCCGCACCAGTCTCTGTAACCTCATCCCCCCATCACCTCCACCATTGCATGGCTCCACTGGTTCCCCATCCCCCAGAGGATAGAGTTCAATATCCTCGTCCTCGCCTTCAAGGCTCTCCACCGCCTTCACTACCTCTGTGACCTGCTGACCCCATATCAATCAGTCTGGTCCCTCCACCCACGATCGGTGGATGGGCCTTCAGCCTTTTTGCCCTCACTCTTTGGAACTCCATCCCACATTGCCTTCGCCTCGCTCCCTCCCTTGCTTCCTTCAGGGCACGTCTCAACACCCTCCTCTTCGACCGAGCCTTCAGCCATCCTCTCCTATCTTCCCTGTGCTCCACCCTCCCCAATCCGGACCCCCAGCTTGGGTTCAAATCCCTGACTGTCCAGCGCCTTGGGATGTCCTTCCAATGTGAAAGGGGCTACACAAATGTAATTTTGTATTGTATTTCATATACCTCTGGAAGGTCCTCTTTGAGACATCTCTTTTCAAGGCTGTAAAGACCTAAATTGTCAAATCATTCCTAATATCTCAACCTTGTAACGCTGTGCCTCTTATTTTTACTTCCTTGATGCAGAACTAAGCATTTATCTGTAGTGAACTTCATTTATCAGTCATCAGCCTATGTCCATACTTTGTCAAACTCATGACTTCCTCTTATGGTTTCAGTTCCCAACCTAACATAGTATCGTCTGAGTATGTAATACAAGTCTGTGAATCTGCATTTTAAGTCATTAATGCAAAGAACAGGAGAGTACCAAAGACAGACCTAAGGCACCTCATATTACCTCATTTCAAACTAGTTGCCCTGACAACTACCTCCTGGAAGCAAACTAGCTCCAAGGTGGCAATGGAATGTCAGAATTGAGCCAGCCCTCTGTGATGGTCTCAGTAGTTCGGTTCCTGAGCCAGGTGGGTATGCAGTATTTCAGGCCACTGCTGATGACAACACAGCCAGTCACTGGGGGCAGGGAGTCATCCCACTCAGCTCCTGTTAACCCTGCAATCCAAAGCCCTAATGGATAGGGTAGTCCTAGCTGGACAAGCAGTGGGAAAGCTTGCTGGACAGCGATACCAATGGCAAGCTATGCGGTTTTAGCTGGTTAGAATCCAGCAGTACCCCAACACACACTTTGGGGTCCCCAAGCCTTGGCTCTTGCCAACCTGTGTCTAATACTTTCCAGAATTAGGTAATCAGGATATGTCCCTCCAGGGAGAGAGTGCATATTCCATTCCAACAATCTCTGTCTCTATACTTCCTTTATTATTTATAGATAATAATAACTATCTCTGGGATTTCCATGTGTAGGTGGGATGCATGGAAATCTCAGCTTGGTTTGGATACTCTTAAGTGTGGTGATGGGTTTCCATTCATGTCAGGCACCTGGCTAATGAGGTCAGGCTAATGAGTCTGTAGTTACCACGTATGGTTCTCATACTTTTCCTGAATGTAGGAACCCTATTTGCTTGTTTAGTCCGTCAGAATCTCACCAGTGATAATTGATTCCCTTCACCATGTCTGTCAGTGCTTCACAAATCAGCTGCCTTGTCTCTTTACCCAAGGGTACATTTCTGTGTGTCAACATGGCTCAGTTCCTAACACTCTCACCCTTGAACCAGAAGGTTGTGGTTCAAGCCCATCGTTGGAACTTGGAACTCATATAGTCGAGGCAGTCAATCCAGTACATTGCTGGGGGAGTCTTGCATTGTGAGAGGTGAAGTCCTTCAGATGAGAAGTTAAACTGAGGTCCTGTCTGCCTGTTCAGATCTTATCTCTCGGCCACCTATTCCTGATAACCTGACCAACAATCCTCTGAATAAAATTGGTCATTCATAGAATCATAGATTACAGAACAGAAGGCCACTTGACCCATCGTGCTTGTGCTGGCTCTTTGGAAGAGGTATCCAATCAGTACCACTCCCCGGCTCTTAACCCATATCCTGGCAAAATTTTCCTTTTCAAGTACCTATCCAATTCCCATTTGAAAGTTGTTATCAAATCTGTTTCCACCACCCTTTCAGACAGTGCATTCCAGACGTAACAACTCTGTGTGGGGCATTGCTGTGCACAAATTGGCTATCATGTTTGCCCACAAAAACAGTCACTCCACTCTATAACATTATCCTTTGAGACATCTACTGGATGTTGAAAGGTCAAATGTAAGGATTATTATAAATAATTCATCTGCCTTAAATGTGTTGGTTTTCAGCTTTGAATCTATTCCAGAACCTCACTAAAGTCCAAGTCAGCCCTGAAGCTCATTGTGTTGTGTTGCAGGTGGGACAAAGTTTTTAATCTCCTTCCTGCAAAAAAATTCCCTCGTCCCCAAAGAATTTCTCAGTTTTTATATTGTGGATAAAAAAGACTTTAATGGCCCTTATCAAGGAGTACTTTTTCAGCTCCAGCTTAATTACAAAAGGCATATTTTAGGGTGGACCTTAGAGCTATATGCGCCAGATGCAATACTGATAGTAGTGAAGTGAAAAAATGTTCAAGAACATGTTGTTACAGCTTCAATATGGAACAAATTACATTTGTATGTCACCTTTTACTTCGGGGGAACACCCTAATGCACTGGCCAGTGTCAGGGGTTAGAACCCGAGCTGGGAGTTGGGAACAAGAGGGGTGGAGGGCAGGGGTAGGAGGGTGACCAAAGCTGCGGTCGAAAAGGAGGGTCATAAGATGGGCCTTGAAGAAGGCAAGAGAGGGAGCAAGGCAAAGTGATGGAGTTCCAAAGGGTGGGGCAGAGAGGCTAAAGGCCTGGCTGCTGATGGTGAGGTGGGCTGTACAGGGAACATGGAACAGGCTGGAGCCTGCTGAGCAGAGGGAGAGGACAGGACAACATATGAACAAAAGGAAGTAGGAAGTGAAGGAGAATCTTTTTGGGTGAAAAGCAAGTGAAACAAACTACCATCATGTTATCTGGCTTGATCTCCTGCATGCTGAAGTAATGGAAAATCTGTTTTAGTCTGATCCTGCTAGAAAAACGAGTGTATTTACACTATTTCAGGAATCAAACGCATGATGTAAAAGCAGCAAAAATAAATCACACAATCAATCCGAGCTGTTTAATGCTGATGTATTTGTAGCATAAATATGTGGCCATGGCGTGAAAAGTATTTACGAGGATTGGCCAATTGAGTCTGCGGAAAGCCCCACCCCAGGATTAGCTTCAGCATAACTCAAATTCAATTAGGCATATGCAATTACTGAACAGCCTGCTGCTGGGGCTACTCAACCTGCTCTGGTACTTATTGTACACTTGACGCTCGTAATGCTCTTATTAGACAAGAGGCTCTTATTAGACATTCCATCTGTACATGACAGGATCTTCTTCCTAAATTGCCTGGTTTTGGGACCAGGCATACTCCCCTGTGTCTTTTAAAACACCTTTTAAAATGGTCTTACCAGGGAACAGGACGCAAAATACTGCAGATGCTGGAAATCGGAAACAAAAACAGAAGTCGCTGGGAACACTCAGCAGGTCGGGCAGCATCTATGGAGAAGGGAAAGTGAGTCAATGTTTCAGGTCCACGACCCTTCGTCAGAACTGGGGCTGGTTGGGAGGGAGAGGCTTTTAAGGGCTAAACAGAGGGTGGGGGGGGACAGGGCAAGAAAGACAAAGGAGAAAATGGGGTTGAGGTCAGGGGATGATGGGTTAAAGAGGAGTTAATGATGCGGGGGGGATTGTAATGCAATGCCGAATTGGAACAGGTGCCCAGGTTAACAATCCTCCAAATAAAATTGGTCACTGCTCCATAGCTGTTGGGACATTGCTGTGCGCAAATTGGGTGCAGCGTTCGCCCACAAAATATAGTCACATCACTTTACAGTATATCCTATGAAGCACTTTTGAGACATTAATGACATAAGGTGCTATATCAAATGCAAGGATTATAATATATTTAGAGTCTCCATCACTTTTTCCATTGTTGCCAGATTTCCTGAGCTACTTGTGACAGAATGATATTTTACGCGTGTAAATACAGTGTAGCAGAAGTCAGGAGATGCACCTGAATATCAGACAACTTTGCGCAGTCTTCTAGTTCTGTTAAGGCAGCTGGAAATCATGAAAATAAATGTGCCATTTGGCGATGAGTAAAGGTATAACAACTTGCGGAAACCCAGTCTGACTCTTCATTCACAAAGTTGAATTTCCTCTCCCCGGGAGCAACAGCAAGTGAAACTCAAGAGTACAATTAGGCACCAGGAAAAATCCCGTTTCACATCACGAGTTGCAACCAGAGACGGGCTCGCCTCAGGAAGTAAGCTATTAAAAAAAGCAGCACAAAGATCAAACCTTTTTACAGTAGTTGGAAGTAAAACATATTAAACTGCTGCTTTGCAAACAATGATACTGTTTCTAATACTGACTGAAGTGCCCCACCATCGGTGGTTGGGCTTTCAGCCTATCTCTGGAACACCATCCCAGAGTCCCTTCGCCTGGCCCTTCCATGCCTCCTTCAAGGTCTGTCTGAAGACCTTCTTCTTTGGCCGCGCCTTTGGTCATCTTATTCTGTCCCCCCCGCCCCGAAATCCAACCTCCAGCTCAGGGGCAAACACTTGACTGTCCAGTGTTTGGGATGTCCTCCCAAGGCGCTATATAAAGGCAATTTGTTGTTGACCAAATGCAAACAAAGATTAAATTGGAGAACACACAGGACATCTTTTTATTAATAGTGTTTTCTGGATTAAATGAAACATTGACATTTGTGTACTTTTATTTTTAAAACAGTGAAAAAATTGCACTAGTCCTCTAACGATTAAGGCTAAAGCAAAGTTTTACCAAACCATGAGACTCAAACAATGTTAGTTGACATCTTTAATGCAGCATGGCTAAATAAATGTGTGATATAGTGTATGTTCTTTACTATTGCTCATTTGTAAACATTTGTTGTTTCAAAGATTATGTTTACTGCTATAATAGATACTGTGACCTAGTTAATGAACTGTAAAAATGAAGTTAATTTCTGAGTTGCTACAGTTAAAGATCAAAACTATGTCTTTCCTGTTACAATACTAAATTTTAAATATTGAATTATTGCTAGTTCATAATTGGAATAGTGTATGAAGCTTTGGAAAATTAAAGAGTAAGAAATGGTGCGGTTAACCACTATGTGATTTAAGATAGTGTACGTTTAGATGTCCCATATGAAATGATTCGTTCCTTAACTACAACACAATGGAATTCACGTATTAAAATAACCCATTAAGCCATGAATTTACTATATAAATCGAGTGTTTCTGTGAGGCCCATTGCACAAATGAAAAAACCCAACAAAAACAAGGCAATACAGCAGGGTTTACAGAATTTCACTTAGTATTCTACCACAACAATATTTGAAGGAACCATGTCTTGCCAATATTCTCATCAATATAGATCAAATTTTCATTTAAACACCTGTGACCAATTTTCTCATCTTAAATGAACAAACACTTAACTTTTTTTGCTCGTCTTCTGTAGTGTAATACCCTTCTTGGTGTCCATTCCTGTGTTTTGACCTCTACACATATTTAGTCCCATAATAAACCAAGAACAAATTTTCAGGAAGACACAATTCAAATCACTGAAAAGTAGTGTTTTGACCATCAAGTAAGGTAATTGGGCACTTACATATTAAGACAAACAGTATATTTTGTCGACTGCAGTTAAATACAATTATAAATCACAGATTAACTTTTTAATTAAGTCTTTGTCTTTTTTATTTCCTATGTTATTTGTTTTTGGAAATATCAAGTTCTAAAGAGCAAATCAAGTGGATGAGATTGTTCCTCTCAACCTTGATAAACCACTGTAAAAATGCTTTTAAACCTTAGGCACAACGACAAACTCAAAGCCCACACTTAGTGATAAATAGATAGACATGCTAATGTGGAAAGTACTCCTTCGTTCATTTAAGTTTCTGAAGATAAAAATTGCATCTGTCTTAAAAATTCTTAATCAGGTTAACCATTTATCCCATAGGTGCCAAGCCATCAGCTTTGCTAGGCAGTGAATACATCGTTCTTTCACACGAAAGACACGTATACTGCAGCTGTCATCAAATTCAATTAACCATTCGATGACTTAAGGTTTTTAGTAACAAAAACTTACAAGCTACAAATAGGTTGCATCTGTTCTGAATAAAAAAAAATGCATGCTTATATTACAGGCTGAAAGTAAATACGATCAGGGTTATTGCAGTCTACTTAAAAATTGTACAGCAATGAACAGTATGAGCAAATAAACCCTAGAAAATATTTAGTGCAATTCTTCCCCTTTCAGATAGAATTCATATGAGGGAGCACCCAGTGAACATTAAATCTGCCTGCCTTGTTTAATCTGTGTCAAGAGGAATAACCATGGTTCAGTGATTAGTCTGATAAAAGGCAAGCTTTTCACAACCATCCATCTGCCACTGCAATCCATGCGGCCCCTGCTGTCACTTCTTGACACTGCCCATATGTGAACTGCAGAAGCAGAATAATGGACAGTTTGAGATCTGCGTTTTTAATCTTGTCCAGCAGATCTTAGCTTTAAGATATTTATTGAACAGTGAAATTGATGTTATCTGATTTTCCTCTCAGCAGTCCAGTTTTATTTTTTCTAATGAGTTGCTTATTTTCCCTAAAGTCTTTTTGATGCGTAATGCAGTGAGCCTTGCAGAGGGATTTTGGTACCAGCATTCCTTCATCAGTTTGGCAAGAGCCGACAGGGTCTGGAACAAATGAACAGTGGGGTATGAGAATAAGCTCATATAACACAACAAAGTTTCTTCTCTTCAAAAATAAACACCACATGTACTATGGATTACAGTGCTTATTTGCAGTGCTCCAGATAGCACGTTACACTATTGTATTGTATTGTATTGTTGAACCAAGATTTAAAAAATGAACGCTGCCTTCTTGCTAAAATAACAAAGCTTAATACATTGTGTGGGAACAGGGTGAAATGGCAATTGAATACAGTACTAAAGAAATTAGAAAAAAAACATAGTAGCTTTAAAGGACATTGAACTCACAGGGTCTGAGAACCATCTGTTGGGAATATTTGGTCTTTGCTGTTCCACACATACAACCTTTCGCATATCTTCAAAACTGGGGTCATTTGGCACCAGATCATAAAATGGAGGTTTATATTCCTCTGCAATACCTGTGAAAGTAAAACACTGAACTTGTAAACATGTCACGTGAATCACACAAGACTAAGTGTCCCAAATATATACAACCTGAAAGATTTTGTGCTGAATTAAGATAGCTCATTTTGAAACAATCAAATATCTCACTGAAAGGGGAATAATAAACAATTATTTGAAATGGTGCATTTTCTCTCTTCAAGCATGCTGAGACTCTACCCTGTGTGAAGGGCACAATATAAATGCAAGTTGCTGTTGAGAGAGGGTGAGAGAAAAAGAGAAAAAAGTATTGAACAACTTCTCAAAACTCCAATTTAGTTTATTTGATTTGAAGAGAGAAAATGCACAATTTCAAATAATATTTTTTTCTGCATTTAACTTGACCATATGTTTTTGCAACAGAAAATAATAATCTCCAACATGACACAGTTTATAACTTTTACTTACCATTACTGAATGTTCTTCTAGTTATTTCCCACAAAACAAGTCCAAATGCCCAAATGTCTACACGCTTGTAGGCATCAAAACAGTCAATTTGAATAGATTCGTCAAGTACTTCGGGTGCCATATATCGCTTAGTGCCAACTTTAGGATTGTTTCCAACATCTAGCTGGTTGTTGGTTTGAGAATGCATCACTGCCAACCCTACAGAAGCAGATATGTTGATAAACACTTGCACTGTTGCTGCAAAAAGCATTGCTCCACAAAACAAACATTTGTCACAAATGTAATGTACTCACCAAGATCAGCAATGCAACAATGCAGATTCTTTCTTACTAAGATATTTTTACTTTTCAGATCTCTGTGTGCAATAGCAGGTTTTCCTTCAGTCCCAAAAATTTCATTGTGCAGGTGTACAAGACCATTAGCTACAGATAAGGCAAAATTCAGACAAACTACAGTATCCACTGTATTTCGCTGTAGATAGTCATAGAGTGAACCGTTCTCATGAAAATGAGTGATGAGCCAGAGCTGGGTGCTGGAATTCCTCGATGTCATGTCTGAAGCAATAAAACCTGAAGGAGAAAGAGGAAAGACATTATGACTGGAACAATTGCAAATTACTCAGTCACTATACCTACTCACGAACAAGTACAATATTTCTTCCTATTTGAAGAAAGGTCCTATCTGCCTCACCACCGGCAGAAAGGCTCTCTCTCATTCTGCCCCATTCTCTGGATTTCAATCCCGGAATCCTTCTGACTCGCTCCCTCACCTCTTTTAAGGTACGTCTCAAGTCCTATCGCTTTGCCTGTGCTTTTGATCAGCTTTCCCCTCTTCACCCACCTGAACCACCACCCCCAGCTCAGGTACCTATCCAGCACAGTATTCTCAAAATAACAAGTCAGGTTTCTAAATTAAAGATATCCTAAAGGGACAGGTAGCTCTCATTTGTCTGGCTGACAACTTGCGTTTAGTGGACTACCATCATCATCATCAAAATTAAAGAGCAAATAAATGACTTACCTAATATATTCTCATGCCGGAGGAGAACAGTGTTGTATATTTCAGTCTCTCGAAACCATGATTTCTCATCTCTGGATGAGAAAATTTTCACAGCAACATTTTCCCCTTGCCACTGACCTCGCCAAACTTCTCCATAACGACCCTTTCCTGTTTGAGGGAAAAATAATTAAATTGTATTTTATTAATTATTTGAGGAATATTTTTAGGATCATTAAAAGTTAATGTCCCCCCTACTTTGTTGAAAAGCCTTGATTGAACTAAGCACTCCAAGGTGAATGTCAATGCAAGATAATAGAAGATTTTAAAAAAACTGTGAGTGCAACACCTTTTAGTATGGAAAACCCCGTCATGCTGAACTACTCATCTCTTTCGGATAACTCTGATTTCCGGGTACCACTTTTCATCATGCATTTCAACCCCTTCTTTTCCCATATATGAAGAATGGACCCTTGAACTCAGTACATATCTATAGAACTGAACTCCCTGAAGAGTCCCTCTATTCAGGAAAGTTTTGACATGGCCAAAACAAATGCAGGATAACTCGCATAAGTCTTATCTTTATAAATCATATAATCGTCTAAGCTGTACATTCACCCAAGTCCCGTTCAGTTTCCTATCAAAACCACTTAGATTTGCGCTAGTTGTATTAAATCACCTTCTAACTCATAACACCACTCCCTTACCCTCCATTACTCACACCCTGACCGGCTGCGTTGAATCGTGGGAAACGTAGTCTTGATCATTCGATTCATGCACAGAATAACTCCCATTTCCCGCGATTCAATGCGATTCCAATGGTTGCCAGTAAGTGAGCATGCAGTGATGGTTCAAGATGCATTGAATCGCAGGAAATGTAGTCTTGACCAGTCACCACATGCAAACTTACTGGCTGCAGTGACAAACTTCCATATGCGCACTTACCACCTGCATTAAATTATGCATAAGCATATAGATTTTGAATTAAATCGGATTTTCTACAATTTATACAGTTTGCCTGCAACCCAGTAAGTCATATTAAATGTTATGGTCCTGACTGATACACCCCAATCCTTTACCCGTTCCCTTCACTAGACTAGCTTGAGATCTATGATCACCCCTAGTCACCTTCCTCTTTGACTATGGTTATGTTTTCAGCAACCACAGCCCAACCCTCGGCCTTGCCCCTCTAAGTGTCTTCAGGTTGCACCTGAAGACTATCCTCTTCGACTGTGCCCATAGTCACCTCCCTTTCTCCCCAGCTCAGCAGCAAACCAAAGCAGGGTGATCCAACTGCCGGCCCGTGGGCCAGTTTCATCCACTCTCCTCCCCCTCCCTCTTTCTGGTCCACCCGCTCCCTCCGTAACCCTTAAGCGTTGTTATGTTTCTGGAAGGGAAATACAAAAATATATGCGACCCGCCTACATTTCTCAAATAGGGCACCCGGCCCTCAGCAGCCAAAAGGTAGGACCACCAGGAACTACGCCATTGTTGATCACTCCCAAGTGAAGAGCACTGTGTAAATACAATTTGTTGTTGCTTTTCCTAGCCTGCTTAAACAATTTTTAAAATTAGTTCTTACAAATAAATTCTCATTGATATTCTTCCTAAAATATATTCTTTATATTTAATATATTTATATATATAAATATAGCTTATATATTTGAGGTGTTGCTGGCTCGCAGCAGCACCTCAGGCAACATCAACCTCCATGGTTGCTCACTACAACTCACTACAACTCACCGCCAGTCAGGAACCTGGGTGTCTTGTTCGACCCTCAACTGTCTTTTCTTCCCCACATTCAAGCCATGACCCACTCTGCCTTCCCTCACCTCCGTAACATCGCCCGACTCCACCACTACCTCACCCCTCAGGCCGCTGAAACTCTTGTTCATGCCTTCATCAGCTCCAGGCTCGACTATGCAAACTCTCTGCTTGTTGGCCTTCCCAACTCCTCCCTCCACAGACTGCAGATAATCCAGAACTCTGCAGCCCGTGTCCTCTCCTGCACCAAACTTCGTGACCCCATCTCCTCCATTCTTGCCTGACTCCATTGGCTCCCTATCCTTCAGAGGATCCAGTGGTCCTCACATACAAAGCCCTCCATGGACTCGCCCCACCCTACCTCTGCGACCTCCTAACCCCCTACCAACCCGCCCGTTCCTTCCGCTCAGCCGGCTCTGGTCTGCTCTACGTCCCCCCGACCCACCCGCCCCACTATTGGTGGGAGAGCCTTCAGCCACTCTGCCCCCAATCTCTGGAATTCCATCCCCCAGTCACTCTGCCTCGCCCCCCCTCCTTAGCCTCCTTCAAGTCCCGCCTCAAGACCCTCCTCTTCGACCATGCCATCGGTCACCCCCCTTCCCCTCCCCCCCGACCCCAGCTCGAGTCTGAAATGCTGTACTCCAGCCCCTTGGGACGTCCTCCCGATGTGAAAGGCGCTATACAAATGTAATCTTGTTGTTGTTGTTTTAACCAAGAGTAGATACATGTTCGCCTTCCATTTCCTAAATAAGCTATACATTTTGATTCAGAGAATTTAACATTTTTATTCAAATGTTTCAAAAGTTTGGTACGAACAGCTTCAGATCTGGCAATCCATTCTGTAAACCTCAATTCTACTAAATAAACCAAAATCCATCCAGGATTATTTCATACCCACCTGTTTAAACCAACACTCATTTAGAGTAAAAGTGGCGCACAATTCTGGTTTTACCCACCTACACATTCCATCAAGGTGATCTGTCTGGCAACAGTTCGCTGTACCAAAAATGGCAAACCTGAACCACTTCCTGACGTACAAGAGTGGTCAAGCAAATCCTAGAAATGAAGGGAAAGATCATTACATTAATATAATAAACTGGGGACACTTGATTGTACAAGAGCTGCATCAACCCACTTTGACATTTTTAGATCCATTATATGCTGTGGCATTAAGTGGAGCTCAAAATCATTGAACACTTTTGACCAATGTGGGAAAGCTATGGCTGTGCGAATGGGCGAAGTGCTATCTAAGTCGAGCCCTCTGGGCGGTCTCGACAGTTCGGTTCCTGACCCAGTCGGGTCCACAGCATTTCAGGGCATTGCTGATGTCAGCACAGCCAGCCTGGCTCATCAGCAGGACCTGAAAGGGAAGACCAGTCACTGGGGGAGGGAGTCATCCCACTCAGCTCCAGTTAACCTGCCAAGCCAAAGCCCTAACGGGTAGGGTGGTCCAAGCAGCAGAGGGTGACAGAGCATCTAAGTTGAAAAAGGCCTTGAAACGGTGATGACCAATGGTGACGAGGGCTTATCAAAGAGGTGCATGGTGCTGCAGAACAAAAAAAAAAGCACTGATCGTTTTCACAGGTGTCTTATCACTGCAGCAATTCTCAATTCAGCGAAAGTATAATGCTGACAGATGCTATTTAGTCTAAATACAGAGTATTTTAAGTAAAAATAGAAAATCAAGTTAAACTGAGGTAAACTAGATTTATTGAAATCTTGTATTATTATGAACTAAGTGTGTTGTGTAGTTTCATTTAAATCTGAAATATTTATTACAGTGCATCTTAAGAGATCGCCCTTTGATCTCATGACAAATGATCTTACCATTTTGCAGCATTATTTGAAGCTTCATGATCTTATGCCACATTAATCACATTTTGCAGAATTTTGATGATGACTAAAGGCATTTCTAGGCATTACAAACTTACATGAACTTAATAATCCTTGCATTTGATATAACGCCTTATCAAGTCTTCAAGACGTCTCAAAGCACTTCACAGAATATACTGTAAAGTGAACTGACTATATTTTGTGGGCAAAACGCAGCAGCCATTTGCGCACAGCAGGGTCCCACAAACAGTCGTGGATTTAGTCACCAATTTATTATTTTTTTGAAGGAAACGTGTCATCAGTCAACCATTTGTTTATATGAAACAGCATTTCTAAAAGATCACAATAATGAGGATAGATTACCGCAAGTGTACTGTCTCCCACGTTGGAAGCTATAAGACCATCAATTGCTCCATTTTCAGCATCATGAGGTTGTAATCTTTCCATTCGATTATGATGAATTTTGCGACAAATCAGTACAGCGACCACTGACAAAACTATCAGCACCACAACTGGGTTAACTATGAAGATAATCAATGTTTCCACACTATAATCTATCGGTTCTCCTTCTGGCACTGTAAAAAAAAATACAAAACATTACACATCTAACATTTTCAGATGAAAGGAGAATTTACAAATATTTATTTTCTAAACCAACTCCAACTGATGCAGGATTACTGACGGATCATTCTATAACTATGGCCTTCGGCATACTGGTACATATCCATTATAATAATAATAATAAACCTTGCACTTGATATAGCGCCTTATCACGTCTTTGAGACATTTCAAAGCACTTCACAGGATATACTGTAAAGTGAGTTGACTGTATATTTTGTGGGCAAAACAGCCAATTATGAACAGCAGTGTCCCACAAACAGTCATGGATTGAGTGACTAAAATTATTTTTATTTTATTTTACTTATTGCTAGGTAAACAGAGGTGTGTGGAGTAAGGAAACTTGCCTAACGTTTCGCACTGCTGGGAATCCTCTTGATTGCGAGTCGAGTGCTCTAACCTCTAAAATACAGGACTCCATATTATATTAAAGCATTTTTAATTATCTGTGAATAGGTTATTTGAGGGGAAGGGAATAGAAGAGTATGGGATGGAGTAAGGAAAGGTAGAGTCTCAAGTGGTGTATGAACACTGGCACTGCTTAGTTGAGCTGAGTAGCTTGTTTAAATTAGGAAGGTGGCAGAGGTTGAAAGAGTCTGTGCTCCAGTGAACTGTGTGTATTCACAAGAGTGACCCACTGCCATATGCAGGAATTTAGCTCCTTCCAAAATTCAGATTATAATTTGGAGCAATTTATGCCAATGAATGAAAAGGCTGGGCACAAATGCGCATAACTGAAACAGAAGATATTCACTAACTTAAAAGTCGAAGATTTAAGATACAGGAGTAAAAAGGGACCAGAGGGAAAGGCAACAGATTTAATTTGGGGGTAGAAAGGCAGGAGTACCCAAGGGAGAGAAGCACAATTGAGTTACGAAGGGAAGAAAGACACAAGTTGGGCGAGGGAAGAAGGAAGACGACATATGAGAAAGGGGAGAAATCAGTTTAATTTCTACACAGCGATTTATAATCTTGTTAATAAGGAATCCAAATGATCACTGATGAGATCTTTCAGAGCGGTGTCACAATTCAGCACCACATACTTCCAAGTCACTGGAAGGAAGGAGTCTTTAGTTGGACTCCTTAAAAGGATTTCAATTGGAAAATGCCTCATATTATATGCCATTTCCAAAAATCCACAGGAAGATGGCTGAGGTTTTATAATTAATTTAATCATGCTCATTAAGCTTTTAAAGAAAAGCATGCTCATGAATTTTGTTACTCATAATTGCTACCTTGAAGGGATTAATAAATTAATGCTTACTATTTATGTGGCAAAGAAAGCACTAGAATGCAAATGTAGCCCTGGGAACTGTGTGCTTGTTAGGTTGACGTATATGGAGGCCTAATTATCACTAAATTTACTGACTTATTGATAAGTGAGCATTGGTTTTATTAGCGGATCATTTTTCCGGGGGTAATAATCCCTTCAAAAAAATAAAAATAAATGAATAATAATAATTTGGTCTGTTTGTGGGACACTTCTGTGCGCAATTAGCTGCTGAGTTTAACCCACGAAATATACAGTCATATTCTGTGAAGCGCTTTGAGAAGTCTCGAAGAAGTGATAAGGCTTTACATCAAATGCAATATTTTTATTTATTATTATGAACTGATTGGTTAAATCCCATTAAAGCCCATACCATAAAAGGTTAGTGCTACATTTACCGACAAGGGAAGAATAATGCCTCTATCATGGGAAACTCTGCATCTATTAGAGAGAAAGAATTCAGCTGTAACAGAACCTGTTAAAACCTGTTAACGGTATAAATTGGGACCAGCCCCACTGTGGATATGGAAACAGTGTGAATCATAGGTTTCATGCAAAATACAAATTGACTAAGCAAAAAACTTTTTCCAAGAGGATTGTTCTGTCACTAGAGTTCCACACTGAGCCATCCCTACTCTCTCTCAGACCTGTATCCAATGATATTGAATCCAATGTCCATTGAATCCAAATACCTGCAACAAACTGCTTAACAAACATGTATCTTGTGTTGTTGGGTCAGTTTGTGGGTAACTTTGCCGCGTAACTAAAACAAATCCTTTTTTGCTGGCATCAGAGCCTAAGACAACATGTTCTGCTGTAAGAAAACTTGGGACCTGTGGTTTTGCAAGTCAATGGAGAAAGAGGGAGCAGGAGAAGGGACATACTGTCACAACAACAACTTCTTGCATTTATATTGCACGGTCACCCCCCAACCCCCGAAGCCAGGGGGTACGTGGTACTACAAATAGATAGTCACTACATTTAACAGAAAATGCCTATCGACTGCTTTGAGATATTTTGACTTTATAGGTGGTAGATCAACTGCCACTGTTTAAAGAGTAGCTTTGCTCTGAATTCACCTTCTTGAATATTTAACAAAGGGAAAATATTTCTCTCCTTCCCCTCAAAAAAAAAATTGAATGGACAGGACAGCTGGGTGGGTACATGAGGATATGTCAGCATCCAAAGAATGAAGAACCTAAAAGCAGGCTTTTCTTTCCTTTTTATTCCAGAGAACCTCTACACAATACTGGAAGAAAAAAAAGACATTGGATACATTGGACGAAAAGTTCCCAAAAGCACTGAAAAGGACATTGAGAATGATTTATAATATCAGTCATTCTGACAGTGAGTGCACATCAGTCAAGTGTCTCTATACTTTGTGACATGAGGAATGTTTTCTCATTGTTACTACATTGTGTGTAGTAGTATTGTCAATCGGACTGATCTCTTCTGGCAGTAGCTTAAGTGGGCCTAAACTTACTATAATTATTTCCCACAACATACAAGGTGACATGTGACCTTTATCATAACATATAATGGAGAACTGGAATCTGACTATAACTTGTCCAGCAAGCACTGAATTTCTTAGCAATTCACCGTCTCAAAGAACAGTACATTCTGTGCATCATCAACCCCAACTTTTGTAGGAAGTGCATCATCATCATCGAATAACAGCGACATCGCTGAAGAAGTTAAAATAATGCCACACATAAAAAAGTAACCTTGTATCATACAGTTTAGGGATAGAGAAAGATTTATAGCTAAAAAAGCCAGAGAGCGAGAGAAAGTTATAGAGGAAAAGACAGTCAGAGAGAGAGAGAGAGAAAAAGGAGAGGTTGGAGAGAAAGTAGAAGAGAATGCTGGTAAACCGATGAAACAATTATTTTGTTTGCGTGGTAGACAATTTATATTTTGCATGATGTCCGGTTATCCACAAAGGGGCCAATCCCAATTTGTGCTGATAATCAGAACTCCATAAATCTCTACTTATAAAAGGCCAAATACATCAGGATTTTTACCTTGTGAAAGAAGCGGGCCAGCTGTAATATTCCTGTTGCACAGATTTTCATAGCAGCACTGCACCACATGACTTGCCGAGGGTGGAGTTTTGCATGTCATTTCCCCCTGCTCGAGAATAAAGCAACCTTTCTGGAATTCCCGTACATCTCCATTTAGTATCACCGAAGCAAAACACTGCTGACCAAAGCAGTGATCCCGTCTCCCACAGGATTTCCCCTCACAGATACATTGATAATGGCCTTGACTGCCTTTGGTGTCGTCATCTGTTGAGGAGGAAGAGTCAAAGAATGATGACTAACATTGCAAACAATGTATTCCAATGTATAGGAAAAGTAATTAGGATATACAATTCTAAGAAAACAACACTCGATACTAGACTCTACTGAAAAAAATGTAAAAGCATATTTATGCTTAGTGATGCTGGCACATAATATTTAAAACAAAAAAGCATTGAGCAGCTAATTAAAAGATACTGTAATTCCACCCCCCACAACAATGAGCTCAGATTTTAGTTGTAGATTCTTGCTAATCAGCAATTTCATAGGACTGACTTAATTTTAAAAATACTTCTCATTAAAGTCATCAAGCTCCTCGTCATATTCATTGTCAGATAAACTGTTCCTCTCCCAGAGTCTTAGTTTTCAAATATTCCAACAATGCTTAACAAATTGTATCAGTCACTTCATGAGCACAACATGAGTATGAACCCAATAACACGCTGAATCCAATGAGCACTCAGAGAAGCACAACATACCTTCAGCTCCGCATCTGAAAATCTTTGGGACCAAAAATAGTAGTACAACAAGGATGGTGCTTTGGGCCATCAGGAAACAGTTACTGCAAAACAAGGACACATAATAAAAACATAATCATCATCCTTACATTTGGTATAGACCCTTTCATGTTGGGAGGCATCTTCATGGGACACATTGTAAAGTGCAGTGACTAATTGTGGGTAAAATATTCATGCATTACCCGTAACAACAACAATTTGCATTTATATAGCGCCCCTCACGCAGGGGAGGGTCCCGGAGCACTTAGTTAGTTACCTGTACTAACCATTAGCTCAAGGACATTGGCTTCTGAAATATGCTCACTGGAACTGTTTTGATTAAAGTATCTGTACGTTTTTTTTAAAAAAATGAACAGTCTCCATATTACCATAGTCAAAAAAAGATTTGGATGATAATTATCCCCTAAAATTAATTTGAAATAAGATGGATGTAGCTCCATCTACCTTTTGTACCACACCGTTACCCTTTCAAAGTCAACAACAACAAGATTACATTTGTATAGCACCTTTCATGTCAGGAGGACATCCCAAGGCGCTGAACATCAACTCATTCTACTCCTCCAGAGATTACATTTTTTAAAAAAATATTTATTATGTCTGTATATTTGCCTTTTAGTCATAAGTATTTTTAGTCTCCTTCGTAACTGTTCTAAGTTTAAAATGAAACTTTTCTAGGACGTCAGCATTAAATACACTAATACCTTAAAAGTAGTGGAAAGTGAGAGTATTAATTTAACTTTCAAAACAACAGTAGGGCACAATGCAGAATTGCTGTAAATCTTCCTGCAGTAAACACTTCATTGACCATTCACTGGAGAGCAATTGATCATGAATTGTATTATTCAGTAGACTCTGCTATATGCATTCCAGGCAAGTTAGTAAACATCTATGGAACTTGTTTACAGCAGTTGCAGTTTAGCATGATTTAGAGTATAACACTTCTAATTTAAATACACAAAGCAAACCCCTTCTCTGTGTACTGTCCTGGAATATTCAAGGGACCCGAAAATCCGACAGAGCAGCAATCCCTGTTGATCTATAAATTTAACAACTATTCTGCTGAATTAGTGATTGCAATGGATATTATTCCCATAGACACACTGAGCATTGAGCTCAACACTACAGCGTTCTCCACAAATTTTCTGTTAAAGACAATTTTATTTAGATTAAGACTTTCTATTTGTCACCAATAGAAACGAAGGTTCATTAAAGATGCAGTGATTCATGTTTTTTAAAGAAGAAAAAGGGAGGAGCAAACTGCTTAATTGACCATTTTTTATTCCATGTACTCAGTCAATGAACCAAGAAAACAGCCGACTCTAGAGACCTGCAAAGATTGGCAGAGGAAACTCTCCCTGCATCAGGACGTGTCACCTGATTTAATGGCTTTTTACTTCGGTTCACATTTTGGACTTAATGCTGAAGAACATCATTGCTACCTTGCTGTAAAGGCTATATAAGCTAACTAAGCCAAACAGATACCATAATCCTGAAATCAAAATGGCCAGTACTTATACAACTTGCTCACAATTTAAACACTATGCTAAGTTGAACCCAGGCAGCCAATTACACTATGACCAATACTGAAACTAACCTGTTATTACAACTAACCGAAAACATAAAACTATTCTGCTACTGCAATTCTGAATGTGTCTACATCATGTTAAGTTGCAAAAAAAATGAACACCGCTTTACTGTGCAATTAGAATTCTGAGTTTGTTCCTTTGATTGATGATCTTTGTAATTTTAATGGGCACAGTGGTGGTTAATTAATATAACGGTAGTACATTGAACAGTGTTCTGTCCAGTGCTCGATAGCTCTCCTCTGAGATGTGAATTAATGCAGCATCTCGTTATGTGATATTTTCTCAGTCCTAGTTTTAAAAAGTTATCTAACCAGACCAACCCTCTGTTTACCTAGCATTCAGTAGGAACCCGGGTTGTTAGTCAATTGGCGAATTGCTTTTCCGGTGGTAATAAATCCTTCCAAAAAAAATTAACAATTTAACAAATAATAATGTGTTCACCCAATCCATGACTGTTTGTGAGACATTGTTGTGCGTAATTGTCTGCTGCGTTTCGCTCACAAAATATATAATAGTCAATTCACGTTACAGTATATTCTGTGAAGCACTTTAGACGCCTCGGAGATGTGATATTATTATTATGGTCATTGCCTCTTTCCCCCAATCTTGGCATCAGGCTCTGCCAGCGAAAAGCATTCCGAGAAGCTAGCCCGTGTGAGGGGAGCTATATAAATTCAAGTTGTTCAACAACAACAACAAAATTACATTTGTATAGCGCCTTTCACGTCGGGAGGATGTCCCAAGGCGCTGAACAGTGTACAGCATTTCAGACCCAAGCTGGGGTCAGGGCAGGAGAAGGGAGGGGAGGGGAAGGGGGGTGGCCGATGGCATGGTCGAAGAGGAAGGTCTTGAGGCAGGAGATGAAGGAGGCTAAGGAGGGGGTGATGCGGAGTGACTGGGGGATGGAATTTCAAATTCCAGAGGTTGGGGGCAGAGTGGCTGAAGGCTCTTCCACCAATGGTGGGGCGGGTGGGTCGGGGGACGTGGACCAGGCCAGAGCCGGCTGAGCGGAGGGAGCGGGCGGGTTGGTAGGGGGTTAGGAGGTCGCAGAGGTAGGGTGGGGTGAGGCCATTGTGGGCTTTGTAGGTGAGGACCAGGATTTTGAACTGTATCCTCTGAAGGATAAGGAGCCAATGGAGTCGGGCGAGAATGGGGGAGATGGGGTCACGGAGTTTGGGGCGGGAGAGGGCACGGGCTGCAGAGTTCTGGATTATCTGCAGCCTGTGGAGGGAGGAGTGTGCTTGAGCACATGATAAGTTCTTTTTAAAAATAACTAAATGCCATCTAAATAGAGGCTTTGAAATCAAAATCAAAAAACATTGTTCTTTATATACTGTGTACCCAGCGTTAATTAGATGGGACTTTTGCACTGAATGAACACTAAAGGTGTTGGATAAATCTAGTTTTGATGGTATAAATTTGATTTTGAGCCCACTTCTAAAACAACTTTGAGGAAACAATTTCAGAATGTGATTACTGTGTCAAAGCTGTTTTCAATGCAGTTGATTTCAAACAAATGGTAAAGCCTAACAAATCGTAAGTATAAAAGACACTGAGGCGATAAGTGCAGCCTGCTTCTGGTTTTAAATGTTATTAGAGAGCACTAAAAAGTCTCCTGTCCAACGAGTGAACAGGAAGAGGTGGTTATGATATCATATGCTTACATAGCATAAAAAAGCATAACAGAAAAAGTTTGAAAGCTTAGTACATGAACTATCCTCCCACACAACAACAAACTGTATTTATATAGCACCTTTCACGTTAGGAAGACATCCCAATTAGATATAATTTCATTGGCTGGCTTTAAACATTCAATGCATTTCCCTCTATTTCCTTGCTTGCTGAATTATTCCAAACATTTATCATTCAATCATTTCCTAAAGGGATTGCACAACAATTTGGTTTTGTTTTGGCCACTCTGGGATCTGGATATCCCTTGCTACACTGAAGTCCCCACTCAGAGAATTAATAAAAATGGAATTTGTGTTTGTCAGATCTGAACTGTACAATATCCCTCCCATAGGCATAATACCCTCCCTATGTTTGGGAAACATACATGTTGATTGACAGAAATTAAGCCTTTAGTCATTGGCGTTGGGCTATTGCTACAATTCAATCAGAGAAATTCCTGCCCTTACTTGTACAGGACAATCATAAGCTTCCAGTTGCCTGTTTATCTTCATGTACAAAGGTGTTTGCAGAGACAAGCCTTCATAAGACCAAACTAGTAACCCTCTCTTTTTACTGCAAATCTACCACATAAATGTGGACCTACGTTTCACACATTAGCTGCAGGGAATCTTTCTGCCGCAAGCCTCGGAGCTTCAATGTGATTTGGCACAAGCTTCATTGGTTGGGAAACAAACTAAATAAACTATTTGAATGCTATGGAATCTAAATTCAAATTCATTTGAATCAGTCAATATCTTACTGGGAGGGAATAAAATCAATATTACTTCTGTACAATTAAAATAATTTTACACTGATTTTCACACAAGTTACTATGTACATCAAATAACTGCCATGCAGAATGGAGAAAATGTGTTTAATACCAAAGCCCTCAGGCATTTTGTTAAGTGTATGCCTGATACAGCACCTTGACGTGGTAGGAGTCCTGTAGCTCAGTGGTTAGAGCACTCACCTCGCAAGCGAGAGACGTGGGTTTGATTCCTGGCAGGGCAAAATGTTGGGCAAGTTTCCTTACTCCACACGCCTCTGTTTACCTAGCAGTAAGTAGGAACCCAGTTGTTACGTTGATTGGTGGATCGCTTTTCCACAGGTAATAATTCCTTAAAAAAAAATTGATCACTTCAATCCACGACTGTTTGTGGGACACTGCTGTGTGCAATTGGCTGCTGCGTTTCACCCACAAAATATAGTCAAATTATTTTACCAGTATATTCTGTGAAGCGCTTTGAGACATCCCGAAGACGTGATAAGGCACTGCATCAAATGCAAATATTATTATTATGATTCAATTACACAAACAGAGCTCAAATAAGCTATGGAAAGACAACAGCTCCCCCTAGTGTTGGATAATTATACTTTATTACAATTTTATTTGCAGGCTTTTCTCTTCCATGATTTTACCTCTGGGCTCCTAACCCAAGTGACTATCATTGAGGTGTGAGCTGAGACAGTAGCGGATCACAGAGGAAAAATAACATGCACCATAGCTCCTTGATGCTTTTGTCCAACTTCCACATTCATGCATCTAGCGTGCGTAACCGAATCATGTTAAGAATTACTGATTCTTATTCCCTTCCTGAAACAGGCCACAGACATCAATTCCAGCATCTCCGCTGATATCAGTCAACCAGACAGCATAGCCAGGGTTTGAACCTGGCAACTTTCCAGTTAGGCTCAGTTGTCTCACTGATCTTGGTTAATATGTTCTCCAAGAAATACTGTGCATCCTTATCGCTATGCACTATTAAAATATTTTCCAACCTAAATTT